GGGGGGGGGGGGGGGGGGGGGGGTGGATGGAATCATCCCTTTGGATTTTCGTTCTGTTAAGGCAGAGCGAAGTAAATTTATATTGATTAGATAGCCCTGAGCCTTCTCTACAAGATGTACCATTTTTTTGGTTATGACGTCATTTGACCCACCAACTTGGATTTCACTATGTTCTTAAAAAGTCAATAAATAACGGAAATTAACAGAAAATCAAGCGACAAGGCTTATGAAATGTGCAAATTTATTAATTTCTGCAATTTGATGAAGAAAACTGGAAAAAACGACAGAATTATCTCAAAAAAGTGTATTTTTGGCCAGACCTACATGAAATCTGAAGGAAAAACGATCGAAATTTGGTTTCGTTACTGATGGAGACACCGCTAATTTGTTTGCTTTCTTTGCGGTTTAGTTCGCATTTGATCACAGGCAGCCCAATCTCTCTATCAGAATTCCTTGGACGTGACTCTTTCTTTATAAGCGGTGTTGTGTCACAAAAATTCGATTTATAAGGGTTTGTATGGGAACGCAACGGTTTTGCTTTAAAAGTCAATTATTCTTATTATTTCAAATCTACTAACCCTGCTGCTGTGTTGTATTCTTTGTTGTTTGCCAGCTAACAGCTCCTCAGGCCGATCTAATGCCGATCTAACGCCGATCTAATGTCGACAGCCAATGGCAATGGCTGTCGACAAATCGATACTGACTACCCCCGTCGGGCTTATTATAACTAGCCAACTAGGAATTGAGTCGGCTGGATTATTTTCAGTAGATTTATTATCTTCGAGCGGCGGGCACTTCGGAAATCAGTGTCCGGCCTTGTCTTTCTTTTAGCAGACTTGTGGAAAGCCACACAATGATAACTCGCCGAAATCGCGTTAGATATCGGCCTGAGGAGCTGGCAAACAAAAAACAGTGCGACACAGAAAAAGGGTAATTAGATTTTACTCACAAAATATAAGACTAATTGACTTATATTGAGCAAAACCGTTGCGTTCCCAAACAAACCCTTACAAATCGGATCTTTGTGACACAACACCGCTTATAAGAAAGGTAATCTGATAGGGAGCCTGGGCTGCCTGTGATCTGATTGGTGGCTACATAATCGACATGTTAATATCAAACTGTCCACGGCTTTTTGAGTTTGCAACGATGCACATCCCTTCGTGACTATAATATTAATCATCTTCATTTCCATACTTATTGAGCTGAGATGACACGGCAATTTTAAGTTAACGATTGCGTAAATCAGACAATCGCGGCACCCAATCTGCAAGGCATTACCTAAAATAGATAACATAAAGTAATTAAAGCCTGGAATTTCCCAAGAACACTGAAACACTCGATGTAAAACCACTATTGTTGCATGTCGACTGTGTGGCGATATTAAAATCAGGAATTGCAAAGCATAGGGTCTCTGAACGATCGAGGACATCGGGGTGTTTGAAGGAAACAAAGTAAAAACACACTGAATTATTGACTTCAGGTGAGCTATGTCTAGAAATCTATTGTTTACAACGAAGGAAACCAAAGCCAGATACTTATATTTTATTTCGTGTAATACAACTTCTTTGATATTTAGAAGCTTTTACCATTTTTAATACAATACACTGCTCAGTGCAAGTGAATTATGTTGTTAACTTTAAATCGAGTTTCTTTGTCGTAGAACTACCATCGATTAGTCCGAAGCCCAAGGAACTTACTTCCAAAACCTTCGTTTGCCAAGCTATTGCTTATGTAAGTTAAATAATACGCTGTGGCTCTATGACCGGCAGCCGGTCAAGGTTCTAAGCGGAATAAATGACCGGCAGTGAGACAGTGTGAAGTAGAACAACTAACCGTGGTGCTATTTAGCCTAAAGTGCAAAAAAGTTTTGACTGACGGTCGTTTAGTCTGTTTAAAACCTTGACCGGCTGCCCGTCATCTAGACACTTCGTAAATAATAGTTCTAGAAATATTACAGACCCTTGCTTTTGCTGGACAACGCGAACAACGGAAGAAATCCTGTAAATCACATAACTTCTTAGTAACCTGATTCAAAGTTAACAAAGAAACGAGCTGACCTGTACGTTTCGCTCTCTTGGCAAACAAATAGACTGGAAGTGATATTAGCCTAGAGTCTTTCAGACATTCAAATCTATGATGCAAGCATTGGGTTAAACGCTTCAAAGATGCATTCGAAACAGATGCGAAAATCTTTGACGCCACTTGTTCATCTTAGAGCTTTTAATTTTTCAAATCCAATTAGCCGGTACAAAGACATCTCCGTTGTTTATGCGATCTTTGGTTGCATGATTATAGGTGCCCTGAGATGGAAATGTTTGCGAATCATTTTCAGTTTTGTTTTGTTTGTTTGTTTGTTTTTTTGCATGTTTTAGAAAAGGCATGGGCTGTTGCTGTGGAAAACTCGAAGAGAGAGTTAACGAAATGTTTGAGCCAAACCAGATAATTGCAAAAGAAATCTTCTGGGCCAACCTTGAGTATCAAAGATCTGTTGGCTGCTGTCAGATAAAAGGAAGCGGAGCCCTGGTTTTGACGTCAGATATGCTGTGGTTTAATTTACTTTGTCCAGATAAACAGATAGTAATGCCACTTCGGATGATTCTTGCAGTCCGAGTTCGTCGAGGGCTGATTGTTGATTTCGTCGATCCAACCTCAGGGATTGAAGATCGGGTGATCTTTGAGTTAAGGAAACCTCAAATTTGGAAGTTGCTCATTGAGGCAACCAAGGCAAACTATTTTGGAGAACTGGAAAGACGAGTTAGTCAGAGATTTGCAGAAAGCCGGATAATCACAAAAGAAATATTTTGGGCCAATCTACAGTACCAAAAGTCTGCCGACCAACACCATCAAGTCCAAGGAAACGGAGCTCTAGTGTTGACTCCAGATATGCTGTGGTTCGCTTTACTTCTCCCGGATAAACAGATAGAAATGCCTCTTCAAAACATCCGTGACGTCAAAGTACATACCCAACATAGAAGACCACCTTTGTTAGTGGTTAACTTCCTCGATGAAGATCAAGTGATTTTCACCTCAAAGGATCCTCAATCTTGGAAGAGAATGATCGACGAGACCATTCAAGGTGGACAAAATCGATTATAATTTTATCTCCGATTCACCTATATATGTATATGTTTACCGCCTCTTACTTCGCTAAACTTCAGTTAATTTCGAGTTTGCATATTTTAGGTCAAGCTTAACGAAATAATATATAGAGCTATATGTGCAACTCATTAATTTCAAAGACGCTTAGTGACAGAGATAGTTTATTAGTTTGGGGTTTATAAGTGAAAGGGGTTAAAGAGGCTGCGTGATAAACATGCCGAACAGCGTTCCTTGACTCTCGACATAGGATGGAAGGTCTCCAGCTTTAGAACGAATTTGTTCTTATGGAAAGACCTAAACAAATAATCCTCGATCCAATCTGTGAGGGATGTGGGAGTCATGGTGCGAGTTTTGTTTTCATGACTGAAATTTCATGATATTCTGAATTTTCTCGATCTAACTCACGATCATCGATGCTACAGGACAAGAATCGGAACTGGAAAAGTTCTGCAATGCATGAAATATTTTGTTCACTGTCTTAGATCTATTTATTCGCCGAGGGGGAAAGAATGTCATTGATATCTCTTGGCCAGGATTACATTTATGTCATTTGGAATTAAGAGAACTTGTAGTTTTCATCCGTTTCGTGAGCTAATGTACACCCTATTATTCTGGCATGGTATGAAATAGCAATTCTTTCGAATGGCATATTATGGAATAACCCATTTGTCACTTGTATTTTTTCTGGGTATACACACTGGTCTAAAGTCTGCGCACCGGTATGCCGAGAAAATACAAGTGGCCCGTACCCGCGGAATCGAATATTCCATCGTATACCACTTGAAAGGGTTGCACAGTTAACTAGTATGTATTGCTACTGATTTTATTTTTTCACTTCGGCAATGTGAAAATGCGTTATGAACTATAATATCAAACTTGATCTTAGAGAAAATAATAATGATTAACGACTAAAAAAACTGTTCTCAAAGTTCCACAGGCCTTTGTCAGATCCGAGGGAACGGAGGGCCAGATGTTTTGGTTTACTTTAACTTGCCTAAGTAAACAGATAGAAATGCCTCCTCGGAGTATTCCTGCAGTCGAAGTTGGTCGCAATCTTCATTGGAAACTATATTCAGGGTTGATCGTTGATTTACTCGATCAAACTTCAGGAATTGAACATCAAGTGATGTTTGAGTCAAGAGAACCTGCGATGAAGCATTTTTCAGTTCCGTAAAGCATTCGTGTAGGAACGGATAGGATACCCCGGCTGAGTGTCACGTGCCATAGAAGAAATAAGTCAAAAATTTAAGTCGGGTGCAGCAGAACCTTAGCTGTTAAATAATCGTGGTTAATAGTGGCATTGGGATAACAATAAACAATTTCCAAAACTATTATGAATATTTTTTATTAAATCATATGACAAGACGCTCTCAACAGAAATTCGGTAAAAACTGACGAAGGAAAGTAGAGATTACAGTAGACTGTTTACCAAGGATTACAGGATATAGCTTTTTACTACTATTCTCTGTCTAGAAAATGTACTCGCGGGGTACGTATGTGCGTCATATATATATGCCAGGCATGATGAGTATTAGTGCCATCGTTAGACAAAGTTTTAGAGTAGACATATTTTTAGACAACGGAAAAATAAAAGAGAGTGTTTGTAATTCTGTAATGGTAATACTAAACGGCAGTGTTATGATTGGTTAATTGTTATTGTTAAACTCGACCACGGAAATGTCCTCCCGCGAGCTCGCTCATGCCTATGGAACCACTCATCTGGAAAGTAGTAAAATCATTGCCTTGTTGGCTCTCTTAATCCCCACCACATCCACCTCCACAACCACCACCACCACCACCACATACAGCTCCTCCTCCCCCTCCATCACCGCCACCACATCCTCCACCACCCCCACCAACACAACCTCCAGAGGCACCACAGACACTGCCACCTGTACTGATGCATCCGCCACCACTACATTCTCCAGATTCTCCACCCACACACGCACCCCCATGGCCACAGTTTTCATCTCCTTCGTCGCCTTCTTCCACGGATAAACCTCCTCCTGCATCCCCCGTACCACTAGTATCGTTTGGGATATCGAGGCCTCCATATCTCGGTCCAGCGTTACAATCGCGAGTCTCATCCTTATTGAAGTCATACCATCCACCTCCCTCAGTGCTACCGTACACTGCACACGCATCTTCACCTAGCACGTGCTTGAGGTATACGTTAGTTGGCACGGTGCGACAGGAATATCCAGCTACCTGAAATATGGGTGAGACTATCGGTGATATTGCTGGTCCCACTTGGTCACGAGGGGATGATTCCATTGAGCGTTTAGGGAGATAAGGCATGCACAGAAGGTAAAGAACAGCGACTGACATTCCCAAGGCAAGCGCCTCCGGGATAGCTTGAGCATGAGGAGAAATGTCAATCTTGCTCTTCCTCAGGTCTAAGCGTATCAAAGTATCGGAGTTCACTTTGATAACGTAGATTCCGAGTCTCGACTTTTTGACAACGAACCAGCCTGGTTTGCCAAAAAGTCTAAAAATCCTGATACCGACGAATGCCTGGCGTCCTCTGCTTATGCTTTCCTGTGCAGAATGTTCATTCTGCCATTTTCCGATGCACACTGCCCAGTCCTTTTTCCCGCGAATAAGCATGGCTCTTTCGCCCTCTTCTTGATTCAAAACGATCGACTTCTTTGCATCTTGGACAGCATCCCTTTCTGGCAATGAGCTTGGGTGGATCGTGTGAGCTGAAGCCACAAATTGGTCATAGAGACTGAAAATTTCAACGGCGGATATCANCGACACTTGGTAAGAGAACTTTGATTGACGGTAACAAGCCTCTTCCAAATCGTATTGGATCTTGGACTTCATGTAAACTGTCAGCACATCCAACGACTGGTCCAGATCGATCTCAAAGGGCTCATCTGGGTATTCCTTTTCCCACAGGTACTTCGCTTTCTCGAGACCGCCTTTTCTCTGCAAGGGATCTAAAGGCAAATGATCCACTATTTTAGATACACTGTTGATGCAATCCTGCTCGTAGTAATGCGGTGCCAACATATGCACATGCTATACCCAAGCAACATCTAGGGGAGCTGCAAGGAGCGTGCTTCTATAACCTTCTCTGGCAGCAAGCGGCAGCCAGTAAATCTCATACCGTCGAATGGCGTTCTTCAGAACGGGACCCTTGTACAAGTTTGGATGTTGGTCTACCAGTCTCAGAAATTCCAGCTCATTCTTGGCAGCTTGAACGAGATCTAGACCAAGGTTTTGGCAAAATGGATCTTGATACATACTCTATGTTTCTACGCCGGATAGAGCGAGGTTTTTGCCTGAAGTAAATATGACAAAAATGCTGATGAAAAGAACAAAAATAACTTATTGCTGCTTTACAATCTCACACTGGACTGAAATTTTTTTTGTCATTCCAGGACTTCATTTGATTTGGCGCATTCCAAGCAAACTATTCGATTCTGTAGTGAACGATTTGGAAAGAAAACGAAAAACACCTTACGACGTGACTCGGCTCCTTGTTTCCGGTGATCCGAGTTCAAGCCGATATTTACAATGACAGTTTCGTTGCGTGACATCGAAATTCTTGATATGTTTGAAAAATATTATTTCATGTAAATAACATGCTTTTTCGTCAGGAGCACGACAGTATTTTTATCAGAGCAACACAATACACAGTTATACAAGAACTATACTCGTCTTCCTGCTGTCTTTGATCATGATAGCTTGCAACACGTTCCCAAGATGCATGAGACCTTCGGCGGGGCGATGAAAGTCAACTCGAGCCCACTTATTTTAAATTTTTGCACGAAATACCCAGTGAATATTTTATGAATTAACACAACGGTAAAGAAAACAGAAAGCAAACGGAATGTAGCGAGAATTGGATAAATACATAGCTGGTACTTGGTATAAACAGGTTTGGTAGCATAATTCGTCAAGAATTGGCTTCTGAATACTGAATAAACTAACCTTTTTTAAAAGTGCATAATTTCCATAAATGTTTCATCTCATTTCTTGTTCATTACAAAGGATCTTAAGTTTAACGTAGCATTACTAACCTTCAACTCGATGATAATGACCCAAGAATTACTGAAAGAGTCGAGAAATACGAATGTT